GTGTGTGTGTGTGTGTGTGTGTGTGTGTGTGACTGGACCATATAGGGTGCAAGATTCCAGATGTAAACAACATATACATTTATTGTTAAAATTATCCAACCATGACAGAATACAGTTGAATAAATAATTTGGGGGTTTAACTACCTCCTTTAACATTTGAATTCAGTAAACATTTTAACCTACTAACTCTAAAACTACCCATAACTGCAATAAATAAATATTTTCACCTATTAACTCTAAAACTAATCATAACTTACCTTGCTGGGAACTAAAGCTTTATAGATGTTTGCTCCTTGTACTTTATTCACCAGTTCCTTACTTGAGACCATCTCTGCAATGCCAAGAAATTCAAATGGTGAATTAAAATTCAAGTTGATGTAATATTCATGTCAATAAGCAATGCTATTTTTACAAATACCTTTTTTATAAAACAAAATAATTCTTTATTACAAAGTGTTCAAGATGTAAACAAAATGTTGAATAAATTAAGTTCATTAATACTGGAAAATACTAAATTAATATTTTTCAACAGATTTTTATCATCAGTTCCTAATAATATATACAGTTTTACTCACCAGTCTGGGCAGGTTTGCTTTCTGCTCTTGGTACATAGCTTGGTTTTGTGTGGATCTTTGGATTCGACTTGTCTGTAAAAAGGGGCATAAAATTAAAAACTAATGTTACAGCACATGTGTAACAGAAAATTCAAATGCCATTAATACCACTCAGGGATGTGATTTGTGTGTGCGTGTGTGTGTGTGTGGTGGGGTGGGGGGGGGAAGGGGGGGGGAGGCAAAAACCTGAAAATTGATGACGTTGTGCAATTATCCCAGAAAAATTAAAAAATTAAAAAATGAATGTTTTACTACTTCTCATTTCCAAAACACAATGTAAACAATAGTATTTACAAATGGAAAATCTATTCCAACTTCACTAAATATAATTGTGACAACTTACCCCACACTCCACCTTTGCCTGCTGCTTTGTCAGACTTGCTGCTGACTGACTGCTCACTACCATCCCCATTGAGCAATGGCTGAAAATATCACAAATATGTTTCATAATTGTTATCAAATTATTTTAATAAGAACTTAATAGTATCTCTTTTTAAGTGGTGTAACACTTTATGCAAAAATGACAAACAAGTAAATTGACATCATAGTGTAGCCATGATGGGCACCAACAAAAACCAGTCCCTTTTGGGTTTCATTTATCAGTACTTACATCAACCAAAAATGTACAATCATACTCACGAATTCTTCATTAAAATCTTTAGGCTCTTCTTCATTGGGCTCTTCCTTGTCTTTCTCTTCAGATTTCCCCTCTTTCTCTTTACTCAACTCCTTCAGTCCTGCATTTTTGTTGGTCTTGTAGTCTTTGTCTCCACCACGCTCTTGGTGACTACGTCGAGAAGGAGGTCTTGCATAGCTGTAGAAATAAGGGTCACCCAAGGCATAGACATCATAGGAATAGGGCTCATAGTAGCTTGGATAGCCTGAACTCATCTGAAATATACAGCAAAACAAGTCAGATAACAAGTAAGCATCAAATAAGCATCAATAAAAATACATTATCAATTAAGCAATTCTAATACTTTGTTTACAATTGCATTCACAAGAGTAGTTTAAAAATACAATAAAAACATCTGTCATTCTAAATTATTATTCATGCTGCCTTTTCTACAGTCGTACCTGAGAGGGATAGGCATGAGGATGTTGGTATTTGTTCTCCTTGGGGGACTGTCTGTGAAGACTGGGCTGTGAGTTGTACTGGCCACCATACTTGTCATAGCCATATCCATTGTAAAAGTCGTACATCTGATAGGGCTGTCCATAGTAGTCATCTTCTACTGAGTGAGTACGGTATTTACTGCTGCCATACTTGGGACCTGCACAGAGGGAAAATTCAACATAAATGTTTGCAAAGCATCATTTTACTGTCTTATTTCTATGTAAATTTGCACTTGACACTAACTTAAACTAACTGTAGGTCAGTTGTTGAATTTACTACAAGACAAATTTTCTCATGCTCTGTGTTCAGTAATTTGCCTAAGTATGAAAAATATATAAATTAGATTGTCTAGTTAAAAACTTTTTTCCTTAAAAGCAATGAGCTGATTATAAATACATCACAAAGTCTGTTGACTGGAAAGAATCTACATGAAAAGTAAATGACAGAAGCTGTAATTAGGTAAAAACTGCTCATCAGTCGGTTTTCAGTAACTATGTCTACTAGAACTATTTTCATTAAGTATGTGGTCAAAATATTCTGTATTTAAATTTCATGTCTGAGTGAAAGACAAGGCTGAAATACAGGATGATTTTACGATCTGCTTGACTGAGATTGATATACTCCAAATCAAAATTCTGATCAAACAATACAAACAAATCACCTTCAGTAATTGTTTTAATCTTGTTAATTATTACTATCTTTTTGTTTTTTGCTATACTTTTAAACTACAATATAAATATAACATGGGCACTAAATATGAGCTTTCATTTGCATGTACTCCTTGCATAAATAAGGAATAATTGCTTGAATTAAGGAAAATGGAATATATGAAGTGTGTGTGATTATACTTCAATCATTTTATGTGGTAACAATTGTTTAATGCCTAATTTAGTTAGTCCAAACACATTTTACTACTATCAATTAAAACACTTACTTCCCCATAATGTGCTGCATCTATTATCTTTATATTTCCCAGTGGTAGAATAATTACACCCCATGATGGGATACACAAAATGAAGTGATTCACTTTTTTGTTAACATCACAAAGACATTGAAGTTACAATTAAGCAATGCTTGTTGATAGCTTACTTTCATAATGTTCAAAAGATCTTTGTCTCTGAAGATAACCATAGTCAGGGGTGTATGCTGGATAGCCACTGTAGTAGTAGTCATTGCGGCGATTGGACTTGGATGACTTGTCTTCACTCTGATCAGCCTGCTTTGAACCAGATGGCTTCTAGAATACAGATTTTAAAATTGTTAGTTCCATGCTTCTTATGCCTAAAATATGCTATTCATGCAATCCAAGTAACCAATTTCACAAATCATAACAAGAACTTTACACTATTTCACTTAATTAAAGACTTATCTTTGAGAAATATTTTTAAATCGCTATTCACTCTAGACACTTTTTGTTTCAGATAATTTCATTTTTTAAACGTATTGAAGCAATGTATGATTGATGGATGAGGATGGAGTAGTGCTCCTCTATATAACTGCCTTTTTACTTATTTATAAGTGGATAATATTTTTACAAGAAAAAATACTTCACTTTTTCTATACTTACAGAGTTCTCACTAGGAATTTTGAGCCATGCTGGTGCAAAATCCGCTTGTGGAGCTTTACTGTTGGCCATCAGTGGCGCATAACGCTGTTAAGCTTTCCAAAGCTGGCAAGAGTAGAAAAATAGTATCACTAAGATAATCACTTTTTTCAATGTCCAACATGGCAAATAACAAAAAAGTACTTATAATAATAATAATAATTTTATTAAAAAATCAATTTTAGAACAATCTAACGCATAATTAAGGATCTAAAATATGCCCATAAGCAAAATGTCAAAAAACATTAGTGCAAATTTGTTATAATCAAATTTGAAATCTTACCCGTTTAG